GGGACAGTTCGAACAAAAAAAAAAAAAGTCCAGTACCACCCTCATAGGGAAACTGTAAATCCAGGACCCCAGCTCCCAGCACAAGTCATCTAGGCCCTGCGGGGAGAGGGACCCCCAGGTCCTGGCCGGGCAGGGTCCTGACCAGCAGGTCCTTGAACACTGCCCGAAGCGGGGCTGTGGAGACATGCCAGGCCGCGCGGGTGTTGTTGATCTGCAGCTCCACGGTGCAGCCAAGCGATGCTATCACCTCATTGAGGTTGTGCCGCAGGTTGGCCACTGGTCCTGGGGGAAGATGCCCTGGTAGATTATCTCCCTCTAGAGCCAATTAACTTCCTTCAGCCCACCCCTAACTCCTGCTCTGCGTGCAGTGACCATCTCCTAGAAGCGTACACTGATGGGGCCCAGAAACTGGTGAGAGGTCAGCTCATTCAACCCGTGATCTTTTTACCTGTGTAAACTAAGGAGACCCAGAGATGTGGAGGCATTCTTTCAGGGACACACAGAAAGTTGAAACAGCTGGGATGAGACTCCCAGTCCTTCTCCTTTACCAGGCCTGGCACTCACTGGATGGCCCACCCGGGGTCACTGCTTCATTGAAGACTAACTGGTACCCAGGGGCACACACTCACCCTCATAGATAGCGGCCAAGGCGTATCCCAGCACAAAGAGCCGGCCCTCTTTGCCCAGCATCTTGGGTACTAGCAGGAGGCTGGCACAGCGGATGTGAGGGGAGGTCCCCCAGCCCATGGCTCCCAAGCCTGTGGGGAGAGCCCAGGAGGTGAGGAGGCAGAGTGAGGAAGCTGCCTCACCCACCAGGTTTAGCAGAGCACCCACCCTCTTTGACTCCCTTCTAGAACCGTCACCATTCTACCTGTGTCCCATTTACAGTGACTCTGATAGGCCTTCCAGGCCACTCACTCATTTACTGAACAGCCATTTACAGGGTTCAGCTGTGTGGCAGTCTCTGGAAGGGCTTGGAAAGATGGCTAGAGATTGAAAAGCCATGGTCGGGGATTGACTTTGCATGTGTACATGTGTGTGTGCTAGGGAAGGGGGCCAACACTTCCCCTTCTCCAGGCTGGATTCACACTTACCATAGGTGCTGAGAGAGCAGAAAGCAAGAGAAAAATTCTGGAAACAGGCACTGGTGCCCAGAGCCGTCAGGAGAGAGGTCACAGCCACTTCAATATTCCCTGTGCTCTGCCACCTACAGCACTCACAGTCTCTGCCCCTAATTTTAGCCCTTAATTGTGTACATCCCAGTATGTTTTAGCAGTTTCACGTGTGTCTCCCTGTGGTCTCTGCAAGGAGACAGTGAGCTCCTTGAAGCTCATAATCCAGGGAGAGAGACAGACGGGTAAACAAATGACTACAACACGAAGTGCTAAGTGCACAGGGAGGTGCTTATAAAGAGCTGTGGGAGCCGAGAAGGGAGTGGGTATTTCTGCGGGGAGGGGTGGGGCTGGGAAGGCTGGACAAAGGAGGTGATGTGTCAGCAGGGCCTGGAAGATGAGTAAGTGTTGTTCGGCATTCCAGGCCCAAGGAACAGCATAAACTGGTCAGGGAACCTAGAAGATTCTGGTGTTGATAGAGTGTTCTCCCAAGGGTCACCAGATTAAACCCCAAGTCCTCACTTTGCTCCATCTCCACTGCCCTCATGGAGTCCCCGTCGTCCCTCATAGGGACCAGCTAGTCTCCTAATTCCTCTCTTGCTAACCTAAACTTCAGTTTTCACAAGGCAACTAGATCTTGTAAAAATGTAAGTCAGATCATGTCCCTTCTCTGCTTCAAACTAGGCAATGACTTTCCACCTCACTTGGGATCAAATCCAAACTCCCTGAATGTGGTCTCCAGATTTTCATGATCTGGCCCCGGACTCCCTTCTGAAGTGATCATGTGCCACTCAGCCCTTCGCCCACCATGTCTGCCCACACAGGCCTTGTTGCTCTTCCTGGAACCCGCCAAGCTCATCCCTCCTCTCAGGTCTTCGCCCTGGCTGGTCCCCCCGCCAGGAGCGCTCCTCCCCCTGTTCTCCACCTGGCCGGCTCCACCTGGTCATACAGGTTTGCTGCAAACCCTGTCGGGTGCCACCCAGCAGTTTTTCTGCCTTCTTCCTTGCTAACACAACTTGGGTTTTGTTCAAGGGCAATGGCCTGTCCCTGCCTTGGCCCCTGGGGGTAAATCTGGATCTGTCTATCCTGAGCTTGGTATAACAAGACATCGAAAGCGGCTTGTTCTATGGTTTTGGCCTTTCGGCCCAAGACTCAAGGTGAGGACAATAGTTGACAATAGTTGGCCTACATTCCGAGGATGACTGTTAACCAAGGGTTGCCCTCCATTCTAAAGAGAGCCCTGTGGAGCTCGCCCATGTCCGTGTCTAGGCTTACCCGAAGAGCAAAACTAATCTCACCCCTCTGTGCCAACCAGTCTACATAAAGACAAGACTCGAAATCTGTATTTTCTGGAAGTGGAGAGAAGCGGTTAGAGTAGGCAGACAGAGGAGGAGAGTCTGTGGAGAGGATGGGTGTCCACTTCCCCATGTCAAGTGACAGACTTAAGAGAACCCTTCAGAGGCTGGTGCTTCAGGAAGAGGAACCTGGCTCATCGCTCCCAGCCTGATGCCCGCTGAGCTGCAGAGCCCAGCAGGGCCGCTCCCCAGGCTGCCACCAAGGCCCAGAGAGGGAGAGGGTTCATGGGGGTGCTCAGCAGGGACCCCCGACCTGGGAGTGTGGGGGAACCGTGAACGTGGAGAGTGGTACTTGCTTCTTACCACGGCAGAGGGGAGGGCAGCTGCGAGGGACCCTACTTTCCCAGTTTGGCTAGGCAAAGAAGTGCACACTTCCTCTGGGACAAGTGGACATTTGGAGGACAGCAGGCCTTAAGCCATCTGTGAGGGTCCCCATCCCAGAGTGCAGCCTGCTTGGGGGGAAGCATCCAAAAGTAAGAGGCTGTGGGTGGTCTGTAGAAGCTACCGGGAGCCTCATTTGAGGTCAGCCAAATAAAACTGCCCTCAGCAGGAAGCTGGGCACTGTGAGGTCCACACGGAACCTCCAGAGAAACCATAAACGGGCCTCCTGAGACAGCCAGGGTGTGAGTGCTTGCCATGCAGAGGCGGTGGAATTATAACAGTATAGATGACTTCAGACTTTTGTCTCTTTTCCTCTAATTCTTCTAACCCCCTTTCTGACATCAGAAGAACCAAAAGGGGAAGGAAGTGGAGAAAAAAGTGAGCAAGCCAGCCAGGCCCCCTTCTCCACTGTGGGACCCCGTGCCAGGGGACAGGTCTGAGCTGCGAGGGGGCAGTTGAGGGGAAGATGTCTGAGAATGGACGTGAGATGGAAAATTTGATATAGACTGGATCAGACCTTTTAAACACTAAAAACAGTCATAATTACTGAAGCAGGACTGGGTCTTCTAGATTAAAATCACCAGAAAGCTAAGGGTCTGTGTGAGAGGTCATTAGTGGGAGAAAGGTTGGAATACAGTGGTCGGAACAAAAGCAGTTTCATCTTGGTAACCCATAGAGGTAGTTCGTTCAGTGAGCTGGTGTCGATGCCACGTCCGTGCCCCTTGCCTGGGAGAGGTTTAGGAAAGGGCACGTGCTGCAGTTCTGACCACAGAGGTGTGGGGGATGTTGGCTGGGGTGGATGGAAGTTTTCTTTGTTCTTATGAGACATGAGGAAGGAATGCTTCGGTCTTTTGACATGGTTGGATGAGGATGTGATGCTTGGATTTGCTGCAGCCATTTCATGACCTGAAGAGGAATGATCTACAGGCCAAAGATGGCAGAGAAAAAAGACAAAAGGAAGCTGGGTCCCGGGTGGGTTTACTGAGCTGCTAAATTATCCAAATCCCGAAACCACTCTACTTTAAAACTTGCTGTGTGAGATGATAAACTTCCTCTATGGGTAAACCACTTATAGGTGGATTTTCTGTTTTTGCAGCCCAGTACCTCCTGATACAAGATCTCCATTCAAATGTCACCTCCTCTGAGAGGCCTTCCCTGACTACTCAAGGTAGCTCTCTGCCCCTTTCTATCACATCCCCCAGGTTTGCTTTTTTCATACCACTTTTCACCATCAGAAATGCTCTTGTTTATTTCTTGTTCATTTATTGTCTAACCCTCTCCATGAGACTGTAAACTTGAAAGAAGGTAAACTCTGAATGAGCTGGGTGTGGGGTGAGGGTAGGGAGGAGTAGGGGAAATAGGTGAAGGGAATTAAGAGGTAAAAACCTTCAGTTATGGAATAAATAAGTCACAGGGATGTAATAGATAGCATAAAGAATTTGGTCAGTAGGGAATATAGCCAGTATTTTGTAATAACTTTAAAATGTTGAATCAGTATGTTGTACATCTGAAACTAATATAATATTGTAAATTAACTATACTTTAATAAAAAAAGAACATGGTCAATAATATTGTAATAACTTTGTATGTGGACAGATGGTTCCTAGACTTATCGTGGTGATCATTCCGTGACATATGCAAATGTCAATCACTATGTAGCACACCAGAAACTAACATAATATTGTACGTCAACTATATCTCAGTTAAAAAAAAGAAATCATTATAGATTATAGCTGTCACTGCATATATATAGATATACACATGTATGCATTATATATTACAGTGTATGTATGTGGATGTAGTATGTATGATATATATTATAATCTCTAAGAGTCTAAAGTTAAGAAAAAAGAGCTGGGTGCATGTCAACCAAGTTCACTGCTGAAGCCTCAGCAGGTGCTCAATTAGTGCTAAATGAATGAATGAATGAATGAATGAATCAGTGAATGAAATGAATTTATCAGGAGCAGCAGGAAACAAGGCCAGAGAGGTCAGGAGAGATGGGGATCATGAAGGGTCTTGGGGTTTGGACTGTATCATGGGGGTAAGAGGGAGTCCCTCAGACTGGGGAGACTTGAGAGGGCAAGGACTGTGTCTTCTTCTGTGGACTCGGGGCCTCTGCCCTCTGGATCTCCCCTCAAAGCCCAAGACGAGGTTGAGGCTACAAGGGACACTTGGGAACAGAAGAAACAAGCTCAGACTCCTTCCTGGGCACCCAGGGCTAGGCTGTGTTTCACAGGCCTCTTGAGTGTCCCTGCCCTTATCCCAGCACTAACCAACCAAGCTGTACAATGTCACCATCTTCTGATCTTCATAGATGTTCATAGGGTTCACCAGGAGCTGGAAGAGACCTGAGGATACAGGGTCAAGCCAAAGGTCAAAAGATGGGCCCCACCCCTGAGCTCTACTTGATACTCACCTATGGCCAGGAGCCCCCCTGTGCCTGCTCCCAGCAGGAAAGCACTGACTGGAAACTCGCCCTGCTGGCGCCACAGGAATCGGCTACAGGCGTTGGGCAGCCCCCAGCTCAGGAACCTCTGTACCGCTGGGAGATGGTGCAGTTTAGCCCGGCATGGCCGACAGACCGCTCTTCTGGTGGGACCTGGTTCACTAGGGTTAGAGGCTGGCAGTGGGGGAGGCTGGGGTAACCTGGCTGAGGGTGGCAGGAACTTGGGGGATCCTGAAGGAGGATGAGGGACCCTAAGGAAGTGGGGCAGACATGAGGGAGAGAAGAAGAAAGGGCTAGACTGGAGGGGGACACTGGATGAGACTGGTGGAGGTGGGGAGACACCAAAGTGGGGCAAAGGGCTGGTGTCCTAGAGGAGAGATTGGGTGGGAGGAGTGGGGCTGGCAGTCGCTGGCAGTCACTGTGAAGATGTGGCTGACTCACTGGTGTGGGGTAGTTTCCTTCTTGACCCTTTTGCTCTATTCTGATGAGGTCTGATGGCCATAAGTCTGCTCAGGGGAGGCCTCTTTCCACCCAGAAGTCTCCTCAAGGATGTCCTTGGATGAGAGGTTCTGCTTCTGTCTCTTCTGCCTCACCCACAGGCTGTCTGAGGTCTGTGTCTTTTAATCCCTCTGCTCTGAAATGAGGTGGTTAGAAACCCACCTCTCCCTTCCCCAATCTTTGAACTGGATAAGGAATTCTTACATACAGTAAAAGCCCTCCAGAACTTTAGAACATGGTGAGAAATTCTAGAGCCTTTAAGAGCCACAGAATCTGGCGGGCATCTCCTGGAGACAGGTGGACGTTTGGTCTCTGCAGCCATGCCCAAAGTCATGAAGGATGTTGTGCACCCCTTGGGGGCAGGGGAGCCGAGCATGGCGCGGGCTGTGGTCCGCAGTACGGGCGGCTTTACCCTGGGCTTGTCCTTGGCCACAGCCTATGGGCTCCTGGAGCTGCTGGTGGAAGGGCACAGCCCCTGGGGCTGCCTGGTGGGCACCCTCACTTTGGCGGCCTTCCTTAGTCTGGGCATGGCGTTCTCCCGCCAGGTCCGAGTCACGATCTTCCTGCTCCTGCCCCAGGCCTTCTCCAGTGAGCTTGGCACCCAGTGGAGGAGGGTGGGCCGTGGGGCGGGGGCTGAGGCGGGAAGGGTCTTGGGCAGAGGGCGGTTGAGGGAAATATTCTGAAGGCTTCTGTAAGACACATGCGTACGCCGTCACGTGCAAGGCTGGGGCCCTGGGTCTGATGGTGCTGTCTCCCCAGAGCAGGGCCGGACACTGCTGTTGGTGGCTGCCTTTGGGCTGGTGCTGCAAGGACCCTGTGCCAACACCCTGCGCAACTTCACCCGGGCCAGTGAGGCTGTAGCCTGTGGGGCAGAACTGGCCCTGAACCAGACCGCTGAAATGCTGGAGAGGGCCAAGCAGCCCCTTGTCAGTAAGGCTGCGTGTCTCTGTGGGCACCCGCATTCCCCTTGTCCTGCGGGCTCTATGTCCTCTGGCTTCATTCTTCTCCATTGGTACTGGGCCCCGACCTTAAAGCATCCGGTTAGACCCCCTGACCCCTGCTCTCTGGCCCGTTCCACTGCCAGATGAACTGTCTCCCAAACTCAAGCATTCCGGGTAGCAGCCCCCTCTCCACGCCCTCCTCCAGGGGCAGTGGTGGGAACTGGGCCCTAGAAGAGGAGACCCGATTAATGGTTAATTAACTGGGTGTGCCAAGAGTTTGAGTTCAGTATGACCTGCCTCCTCTCAGGTGCCCTGAACAAGATCAAAGATATTGCCCAGAAGACTAAGGAGGTGGCTGACCGGGTCCGCAAGTTTTTTCGGTCAATCATGGATGGTGTGAAGCACATAGGTCAGCACATAAGTATATGTGTTTTAGGGGGTCAAAATTCACCCAATCTCCTCACCCTCACCCCACTTCCAGGACTTTGTGGGCCCCTCCTGGGTGCTGACTAGTCCCCCCTGAATATAGCAGAGCCAGGCCGCTGACCACTCTCTGGTTGCTGTCCTGGTGCTCCCCAACCCCCTGAGAAGGTGCTGCAGGACTCCTGGGTACCAGCCCCACAGCTGCCCCCAGCCAGGGCCCTGCGGAACGTGTGGTACTGGCTCCTGCACATCGGCGACGTGTGCAACTCGGAGCTGGGCAACCCCTACTTGAAGTGTGCTCGGGTCTTCGATGATGCCAAGGACAGCTGCATGAAGGTCATACCACAAGCCTACCACCTGTGTTACGTGCTCATGCCCTTCAAGCTGATGCTCTGTGGACTTGCTAGTGGTGAGAGAGCCAGGGGTTTGCCAGTAGGATTGGGGGCCCGGCAAGTGTAGGGGTCAGTTGGGAAGGTGGGCCCAGGAGACTAATGGGGGGCAATCAGTATAGCACCAATAAGGATGCTGGGCCCTATGTGGGGTGGGGGGCAGGTAGGGAGGAACCACTGTAGTGGGATGGGGTAATAGGGAGAAGCCAAAAGGTTTTGAGCCAATATGGAGGCTAGTAGGAAAAAGGAACAGTCAGAGGGCCCTGTGAGAGCAAGGTCCCTGGACGTGGGTGAGGCCGGCTGCAGCTCTCTGCCCCTCCTGACACTCAGTCTTGGCTCTCAGTGGTCCAGGTGTTTTGTGTCATTCCCAAGTACATCCAAACCTTCCTGCGTGAGACCATCGGCACCCGTGAGTGATCCCCTTCCGGCCCTGCCTTGGGCGCTGTTCTGGGTGGCCTCCCTCCCTCATCCCAGGATGTGTCAGCCCGGGAATGCTCCCAGTCCACAGAGAAGAATGCAAGAACAGGAAAGGACCTCAAGAGCTTACCCAGGCCAATGTCCGTGCTGTACAGATTAGGGAATTGGGGCCCAGCGAAGGGGAGGTGCCTCCTCAAAGCTGGACTCGCCAGCGGGAGCTGGGGAGAGAACCAGGGCCTCCTGCTCCCTTGGTGGGTCATGGAGACATCCGCTGTGGAGGGCAAGGCTGGCGCGAAGCAGTGACATAGACTGTGGAGGCCTTCTCCCCTCCTCTGTCCACTGTAGGTCCCAACGCTGGGGGTTCCTGGCTGGACTATGAGCCATGCGGACCCTCCCCCAGGCCCTCCCCCGAGGCTGGCCAGGCCCCTCCCTGGGTGCAGCCCTGCCCCCTCCTAACTCTCTTTGCTCACATCTCCCCTGGACCTGTGGCCCCAGCGGTGAGGAAGTTAATCAACCGGGTGCGTCAAGAGTTTGAGTTCAATATGACAGCCACCCACCACTTCTCTGTGGATCTCAGTGCCTCTCGGAGCCTGTCCCAGGTAGCTCTGGACCTCCACGAAGCTGTCAGCTTGAAGCTACACCTCGTCCAAGAGGCCTTGGCTCTGATGGGTTACACGACACCTCTGCTGCTCATGTTTCTCTACCTCCAGTGAGGGGCTTGGGGCCGGAAGACGGGTCTGGGGGTGGGGAGCTAGGGCTCCTTGGGACCTGCTCATCCCCATAGCATCCTGGGAGGCTGGAGTTTGGGGGCAGGGGTGCAGGTAGGAAGGGTGATGCCCTGGGGCATCTGGTCAGGAGTGCTGAGTGGCCTCACGTATGCTCCACCAGAGCCCTGTTCTACCGGTACTGTTACCTGAACTGGGACAGTTTTGACAACATCTACATCACCAGCCGATTCCTGCACATGGAGGCTGTCCGCTCCATGGCGGGATTGCCCACCGTGCTGCCGCTCAGTGCCCACGAGGCCAGACACTACATCCAGCCGGGTGAGGGCCCTGAGGACCAAGGGGCTTCCCACCAACCCTCCTGCCCTGCCCTGCCCAGAATCCCAGGCACCGGCTGGGCTTGGGGCCGGGCCAGACGTAGGAGAGACAAACCAAAGCTGAAGGAAATTTCTGGCTGGGGGAGACACAACCGTGTCCTTGGGGAGCCCTCAGTCTGAAAGGGGAAAGTAGGGTCCCTCAGAGGATGCAGACAGAGAGAGAAGGGGCAGACAATGCTTCTAGGAGCACCCTGGATGTCTGGACAGAGGGGAGGATGGGTGGGGAGTGGATATGGAGCAAGGGAGGTGAAGCTGGAGAGGCGCGGAGAGCAGGAAGTGTGCATGTGCTGATGTGGAGGAGATGCGGCTGGGGTGGCGGGGGCTGTCTGTAAGGCGGAGTGCCAGGTGAGGGTATCAGAGGTGCCTTAGGAGGGAGGATTCCTGGAGACTGGAAATAGGCCACCAGGCCCAGATGGAGATGCTAGGCCTCCAGCTCTAGCCACGAAGCCCCTGCCCATGACGAGTGCTTCCCACTTACCCAGGGGCCCGCACAGCTTCATCACCTTCCAAGAGAAGACAAGCCCCAGCTTGATCAGGGGCAAGAAACGTTTCCAGGAGGGAGATCTCTCTAGGAGCTGGGGTCTGGTGAGCGGGTGAATTGGGAGCATCCTCCTGGCTAGCCCTCCCCCACCCAGGCTCCATCTTCTTGTCCCGGTGGGAGCAGATTTTCTACATTCTGGCCACCTTCGACCTTATTCGGCACCTCCTTCTCGTGTTGCTCCTGGTCTTCCTGGACTATGCCGTCTTCTGGGTGCTCGACCTGGCCCGGCACCAGTTGCAAGGGGAGATCGTGGCCCGCAGTGAGCGCCTGAACCTCCCTAACTTCCTCAGTCCTGGGAGATTGTCACTTATTTACCAGCCTCTGACTTTGCCCCTCTTCTAACTCTGTTTTCTGCCTGGTAATCCCTGTGCCCAGTTCAAGGTTATAGCACAAGACAGTAGATAAAAATACAAGCTCTAATATCAGACTGCCTTGGGTTCAAATTTCAGTTCTGTTCTTTACCAGATAATGTCCTTGAGCAAGGTGCTTAACCTCCCGGACCCTCCGTTTCCTTATCCGGACAATGGTACAATAATGGTAGCAACCTCTCTGGGTAACTTTAAGGAGTAAATGAGATCACGTGTGTTGAATGCCTGGTGGACAATTGAGAGCACACCACAAACCACAGGATAGAATTAATCTAATCCGGTGTACCAGAGACCCAACAGAAAAAGTTAAAAAATACCCAAAACAACCAATGAAGCACTTTGTTCAGTACCTGCTCCACAGTCAGTGCTTAGCAAATGTTTGTTTTTAATTTTGGTTTTATTGAAGGATAGTTGATTTACTATATTAGTTTCAGGTGTACAACAAAGAGATGCAGTTGTATGTATACATATGCATGTTTTTTTCCAGATTCTCTTCCATTTATTGTCACTACAAGAAATTGAATATAGCTCCCTGTGGTATACAGTAGGTCCCTGTTGTCCATATATTTTACATATGGCAATGTGTTTCTTTTAATCCCAAACTCCTAATTTATCCCTCCCCTACTCTTTCCCCTTTGATAACCATAGTTTGTTTTCTATGTCCATGAATCTATCTTTGGTTTGTAAATAAGATTTGTATCATTCTTCTTAGATTCCACATATAAGTGATATCATATATTTGTTTCTGTCTGACTTACTTCTCTTAATATGATAATCTGTAGGTCCATTCGTGTTACTGCAAATGGCATTATTTCATTCTTTTTATGGCTGAATAGTATTCCATTGCATATATATACTAACTCTTCTTTAACCAGTTATCAAGTCAATGGACATTAAGGTTGTTTCCAGGTCTTGGGTATTGTAAATAGTGCTGCTAGCAAATGCTTTAATATAAATGCTTCTGGGTAGTTGTGGAGTCAGAGGGTGGACTCACTGACGATTAAGGTCATTTCAGATCTGGTGGCCTGGGCAGGCAGATCAGGCAACAGCACCAGCCAGCTCTGGACCATAGGGTCAGTCCTAGGTGCCAGGAGCTGAAGTTAGGCCCCGGGGCACCATGAGGTGCCCAGGACATCAAAGGCCCCTGGCTGAGGGTCTGGGGGCCATCTTGATGCCCTGCACTGTCCACTCTCCACCCTCCAGGAGGTCTGGCCTTTCCTGCATGGTGGAGTGGGCAGCTGCCAAGAGCATCCCTCACACAATGTCTTGGTGCCAGGCCCTGTGTTAATATCCATAACCGTGGAAGGTACTGGCTCCACTGGGAAGATATTCCGTGATCTGGTGTCGGCATTTGATGTCCTGCAGCAAGGCAACATCACCGTCTTGTCCCGGCGCTGCCTCCTGCATCCCTCGGAGCCCGACAGCACTGGTTATATAGTCATCGGTATCAGCCACACCTCTGAGGGCACTGGGGGAACAGACGCCATCCAGGGTGCAGGGGGCACAGATGACTCAGGGTGAGTGTGGCTGCCACCTGTGCCCACTGGTGGCTGCTTACTGTGTCTGCTGTGCCCCTAGGCGTCATGTATGGCCTCTGCTTCTTTGTCACTTTGTTTGGCAACTATGTCAGCCGGCTGCGGCGGGTCATCTGTGCCTCCTACTATCCATCCCGGGAGCAGGTGAGTGGTCCCCGGCCAGTTCCTGCCCCACTCCCCAGGGTGCTAAGCTCGAGGCTGTCTGTCTTGGTTTAGGGGAGCTTAGAGCCCTTCAGTAGCCCAGCTCTTTCTCCTCTGGTTAAACCCCAAAGCCAATGACCTGGACTGTAGGTCTCCGGACTGCAAATGGGGCTGGGAGAAATGGTGCCTCTTGGGGCAGGGCTTTCTGAGACACAGCTTGCCTTCAAAGTTTGGTTAAAACCCTGGGGGGACGGGAGCCATGTTGTCATGTTGAGGGGTGAATGGAAACTTGCCATTTGTTTACTCATTTACTGAGCATCTACTGTGTGCCGCTCAACCTCAAGGATGGCGAGATGAACCAGACACAGTCTGGAGCTCATGGTCTTCAGGCAGGCCAGACTGGCTTTTAACAAGATGTAACAATGAAAAAAGTGTTTTCATTAAGGGGTGAATAAAGTCCACAGAAACCCAGAGGAGGGAATGGGTAACTCGACCTGGGGAAGTCCTGAAATCTTCCCAGAGGAAGGGGCATCTGAGCCAAGCCTAGAGGGATTCGTAGGAGTTGGACAGAAGGCAAAGGTAGGGAGTAGGAGTGAGTGCAGAGAGCACTCCAGGCATAGGAAACAGGATTAAGGGGACCCCCTCCCTGACTCCCCTCCACCAGGAGAGGATCTCCTACCTCTACAACGTACTTCTGAGCCACCGAACCAAGCTGGTGGCTGCCCTGCACCGATCAGTGAGGAGACGGGCAGCTGACCAGGGTCACATGAGTGGCCTCCAGGTGCTGGCCAGGCGGTGAGCCCACTGTCCTTCCTTATAGGAAGTGGGGTAAGAGGGGGTAGAAAAAGAGCCAGAGGTCAGAATGGATCACTGTCCTTTCTAAACGTCCAGAGGTTTGGTTGAAGAGGGTACCCATTCCGTGGCATTCATGCATGCATGGATGAAGGGTGGGGAGTGAAAGGAAAAGGAGGCCGGGAAGCAGAGAGGTTGCTGCTGTAGTCAGAGGGATGGAGGTTAGTCTGCAGGAAGGCCTACGCGTGGTCTGGAGTGTGGTGCTGGAGAGGAAGCTAGCTGGGCTGGCCTGTTTAGTTTCTGCGACCCTTCTCTTCAGGTGTTCCTGCCTGGCTCCGTTTATCAGCCACTTTAGGCAGCACCAGACCTACTGCCTGGGCTGTGGGCAGCCCCAGGATGAGGCGCACACAGAGAATTTGGTGTCCTGCAGTACCCCGGGATGCCGAGGTGAGACCCCTGGGGAGATGCTTCTCCCTGCTGGGACTCACTGCATTTGCATGTGACAATCATGACAATCAACTGTGGTTCTTCTTTTATGGACTTCTCCTGTACCTCACCTTTTGTACCCCTCCCTCATGACTATGCATGTTCTCAATTACATAGACCCCTCAGCTCACTTTCTCTATATGTGCCTTCCATTCCTCCCATGTGAATGGAATTTATATGCAAGTGGCATTGCAGCAATTCCCTAGTGTGGACCACTTGAGGAGGATGGGGGGCCAGGGGAGTCAAGGAGGCAGGGGCTGGAAGCCAGGAAGCAGGGTGGATGGTGGGAAGGTACACGTTCACCTCCTTCCCTGCTGGCCTCCTCCAGGTCTCTTCTGCCTCACATGCTTCCGCCTCCTGGACAACACCTGCTCCGTGTGTGCATCTCCCCTCTCCTACCAGGGGGAACTGGACCTAGAGCTGTGAGTCTCCATCAGTCCGAGGTGGCTGGAGCCTGTGAGGGCAGTGGGAGCAGCCTCCCTTCCCCCAGGACCTATTGAGATGGAAGGCTTCTACAGGGACTCCAGTGATGAGGAGGGCCCCCGCCTGTGGCTGGCTGCAGCTCGCAGAAAGGGCCCTGAACAGGAGGGGTTACTGCGGCAACGGCTCCAAGACGCTCTGAGCAGGACCCTCTCATCTGAGTCTAGCTCTGAATTCAGGTGAGCAGAAAGCAGAAGGAGTTGGAACCTGGGAGGTCTAAGGATGTTCTGTTACATTTTACCAATGGCTTGTTGGGTGCCTGGCCCTCTGCCTGAGCTGGAGACAGAGATAAAGGGAGGGGAGGCAATGGAGGTTTGCCCAGTGCCTGCCAGGTCAGCACCCCTGCCCTGAAGGAGCCCACCAAATGGTGGGGGACAGTGACATCAAATAGATAAGTGACAAGTGCGGCAAGTGCCCCAAACAAGGAGTGACGCAGGTTCCAGAGGACAGAACAACCAATTTGGGTTGGGGGTATATGAATGAAGGCTTCATAGAAGGAGTGAAAAAAGAGGTAGGTTTGGGGGCAACCTGGTAGTTTGTTTGGTTGAGGAGCGGAGGAAAGCACTCCAGGGGGAGGCCTGTGTGAATTTGGAGAATGTGGCACATTTCGGAAGGGAGAGCCTAAGAGAGGGGTGGGTGGGTGTCTGGGTGGAGAGCTCAGAGCGTGCCAGAAGATGAGACTGGCAGTCAGAGGCAGAGGTAGGACGGAGCTTCCCTTTCCCGTCAGAAGATCCTCAGTCAGAAAGTGATATATTCCTATATGTCTTTTAGGACCATAAGCTAAGGAGGCAGAGAGGAGGCTGTCTCAGCCCAGGAAAGGTCGGTGACGGCCTCAGGATTGAGGTGCTGAGGATGACAGGGAGTTTGTGCTTGGGATGGGGCGGCGTTAGGGCAAGAGGAGGAACAGGTTTTACAGAAAGAGGAATGGCCCAGTTCAAGACCTCTGAGGTATCTGTAGGGAATCCAGCTGGAGATGCCCAGGGGACAGTTAGAAAAGGGCAGGACTCTGGGCCAGAGGTGTATTTTAGGGGGTTGTTGACTTAGGGACTCTAAGAGAGAGGGTGAGCTGGATCATACTGGTGTAGGGCATGGCAGGAGAGGAGGGGACAGGGACAGCAGCCTGAGGGGCTCAGTCACAAACCACGGAGGGGAGAGGCTCACGAACAGCAAGCCAAGCGTATCGAATGCTGTGAAATGACCAAGTAGGATGAAGACTGAAGACTGGGCATTGAATTTGGCAGTTGAGAGAGCCTTGGAGCAGAAGGCTCTCGTGGGAACATTTCTCATGGTGCAGGGAAGGTCAAAACCAGTCATAATGGGGTTGGGGCGGGGGAGTGACTGACAGAGAAGACTCAGAAACAGAAACAGGCTCTGTGACACTGTTGCAAGAAGTTAGAAAATCCTTTTTTTCCCCCCAGTATAACTGCTGTAGTTAAAAAAAGAATGTTGATGGTGAAGAGGAGGGAGTTAGCTTCACAGAGCAACAGAGCACTTGAAGGGAACCCAGGACTGAAGGGTTTTTCTTTACCTAAGTAGAGGGAGACCTGAGCATTTAAGAGGTGAAAAAGAGAGCACTGAAGAGAGAGGGATGCCGGAGAGATGGGATCTAGGGCCAGGAGGACAGGGTGGCCTCAAATAGGAGTAGGCTCGCCTGAGGCAGGAGGGGAGAGGGTAGGTTCCTCCGAGCAGAGCAGAACCTGCTCCAGTGTGGTTGCCTTGCTTTACTGGGGCGGGGTGGGGGCAAGGTAGGAGGCAAGTGCACCTGCTGAGGCAGCAAAAAAGGGGGCTGGGAGTGGAATAAAGGTTTCAAGGAGTGGGTGGTGGAGACTGAAATATCTGCCTTGGGGACTGTGCAAAGGAGCCAACTGGGGAGGTTAAGAGATTTCCAGGTAGCGTTAAAGGCTCAAGTGATGTTGAAAAGCATCACCTGCGAGGACTGACTCCAGTACACTTGGCTATGTAGCTTTCTAGAGCAGATGTGGTAGCTGTGAACTAGATTCAAGGGTGGAAGGCTTTTACTGGGCAGGTCAGGGGAAAGACAAGCTGGGAGAGAATTGGGGTGTCTGTAGTCAGAGTGCCTGAGATGACTGAACTTGGGGAAGGAAAGGGGCTGAGACCCCGGGGTGAGGGGTATGTCTCCATGAGGTGCTAGAGCTGAGGCCACGGGCAGGAGGGACATAGAGAGTGGGCCACAACCAGGGAAGAATTCTGGGATAAATCCAGAGAGTGGCCAAGGTTGAGGGCACCGTCTGAGTGGGAGCAGAGATGAAGGTCATTACGGCCAAGGAGGTCAAAGATTGAAAGGCCAGAGAGTTGGAAGTCTCCACCATGAGGAGGCTGCTGGGCCACACAGCGCCCTGGATGGGTGCGGGGGGTCTGGGAGGCCTGGGGAGAGAGCCGCGGCCCAGGGGAAGGGGGGCGGGTGGGCAGCGGCTGCGGCAACCAGGAGCTTTGCAGTGTGCCTTGGGCCAGCCAGCCGGGTTTGAGAGAGACAGGCAGATTCTACCTGGGAAGACTGCAGAGAAAGCTGTCCAGTGGGCACATTCCAGCATGAGTGGGGCACCGGAAGTAGTAATGAGTTGAGAGGTTAAAGGGGAAGCAAAGTTTTGTTTTTAGAGATTTCAGAAGGCTCAATGAAAAGCTGGGTCACCAGACTATTGGGGGTAGCTTGAGGGTGTTATCCTCGAGGTCACTACTGGTTCTGCCCTTACTAGCAATGTGACCTTGGGCAAGTCATTGCCCATTCATCTCTCGGCATCAGCCTAAAATCAGAAGATATCTACAGCCATGAGCTTGTTTGCCTGGGGGGCCTGTGAGAGCAGCAGTGGCTGGTAAATAACAGGAGCCAAGTCCGAACAGATGGGGCAGGGCAAGGGCAGGAATGCTCCTGTGAAAACAGAATGGTGGTGACTGGGCCACCCCCTTCCTCTCACTAGCGACCTGGATGAGAAGGGGCCGCAGAAGAGCAGGCACGGATAGCAGCCCCACCCGAGGCCCAGTTTGTCGGCATTCCCACGCTCCCTTGGCCCCACTGACCACCTCAAAAATCCTCTGTTCCCAAAGCAGACCCCTCTCCCGGCTTCAGAACCCCCAGTCCTTCTGATCCCTCCCATCTACCCTCCAAATAAAGGAACCAAAGGTAGACACAAATGTGAATCTTAAATTATTATTATTTCTTCCTGTCGTTTACACCCGAGGTGGGGGGCAGGGGAAGGGGAGGGGAACAGGAGAGGGGGGGATTGCCTCCCCCCCTAAGGCACTGAGTGGAGAAGCCGCAAGGGGGGAGAGGGGAGGGCCACATTGTCCTCACTCCCTGGGGCTAGGCCTCAGGTCTCCTCAGCCCTGGGCTCCCCCATCACCTGAATGCTAAGATGAGGCCAGGGCA